CACCCAACCCGCCAGCTAATTGCTACTTTTAAGATGGTGCGAGGCTCTCACTCCTCTCATTTTATGTTCTGTGACACAAGGGCTTGCTGATGAAGTGGAGTTCTTTTTTCCATGTTCCCACTCTGCTCTGCTGTCAGCAAACTCCGAGAAGGCGTCAGGAGTAACGAGGGTGGAGCCTTCACCCTCAGCGACTCTTGTTCTGCTGTGTGCAATCATATGCTCGGAGTCCAGCAGGAGAGAGTGGGGGCTAAGGTTGGGAGAAGGTTATGAAGGGAAAGAGGAGGGAGAAAGGATATAAAGAAAAGAAACGGGTGGATGGATGGAGAGGAAGGGTGGATTGTTGCTTAGAAAGGAAAACTAAGTGATTAAGGAGTATGGAGAGATGTCTCAGTGGATAAAACACTTGGCACACAAGCTCGAGGACCTGAGTTCTGATCCCTACCTAGCCACATGGAAGGCAGGTGGGCCTGCAGCCCTTTAGCCTGAGCACTTGGGAGATGGGGACAGGTGACAAGAGCATTCTAGCTGGCAAGACAAGGCCTAGGTTCAACAAGAGACCCTGCTTTGGTAATGAAGTGAGTAAAGATTGGAGAAGACACATGATGTCAACTTCTGTCATCTACATGCATACACATGAACACACGTGCAACTATACATATACCCCCCCCACACTTTTCTGAAAAGGGAAAGAAGGATGGAGGGATGGTGGGGTACATGGGAGAGAAGAGAGGAGAATTCTCTGAGGGAAGCTGAACTTAGGAACAAAGTGGAAAAGCAGGGTACTGTTAGAAGTTGGGAGAAACTGGGGGCAGACATGGAACATGCTAGAACTGACTGTCACCTGGACTGAATTAAGAACTGTGATCAGGGGCTTTGGAAGTGGCTCAGTTGCTAAACTGCCTGCCATGCATGCATGAGGATTTGCATTCCATCTCTAGTACCCACATTCAAATTAATCAATTGGTCAGGGCAGTCACTCCACCCATAGTTCCATCATGGGTTGGTGGAGACAACAAGGTGAGCCAGCCAGCAAGCATAGCAGGTGTACACCAGATTCAGCGAGAGACCCTTGCCTCGGAAAATAAGATGGATGTGATTGAGGGAGATACCCAGTTTCAGTCTCTGGCTTCCACACATGCAGGAAAACACAAGTGTTCACCCGCATACAGGTGTGCCTATGTACCCATGGATGCACACACATACATACACATTGCACATACACACACACATAATCTGAGACTGAGGCACACCTCCAGGTATGTCTGTAAGGACGTCTCCAGACAGATCTGAGGGCTCTATGTGATGGACGGATGGATGGATAGACAGATGGATTTCTTTATGGATGCATAATTGAGTAGCATTATTGTGGCCTATCTGGGGGAAATAGGTTACTGGGCCATGTCCCTGGAGGCTACATCTTGTCTGATGATTTTTTCTGTTTCCCATTTACCATGAAGAAGCTGTTCTATCACACACTCTGGTCACTATGGTATTCTTCCTCACAGTACACCTAGAAACAGAAAGCCAAGTGCCCATGCCCTGAGCCCTCTGAAACCAGAATAATTCTTACCTCAGTTGTTTCTTTCAGGGTTTTTTTTTTTTTTTTTGGTCTAAGCAATAAGACAAGTAACTAATACACTGAATGGCAACACTTCGGGAGGTGTGGGGAAGCACGGAACAACTGAGATTGGGGGATCAGCACAGCAGTGGCATTCGTTCTGCAGAGCTTGGGGCCTGCTGTAGGGTGTAGAAAGAGGGGAGCCTTTGCCATCCATGGCTCAATGGCATTATCACATGGCAGTGGTCCCCCAGCTTCCACAGGTTGATGTCAAGTGTCTTCCTCAATAACTTTGTGTATTGAGGCAGGACTTAGGAACTCAATTTGCCTCCAAGTGATATTTCTGGGGTAAGGGGCTGTATGGAAGGAGTATAGAAGGGAAAGGAAGGGCCCTTCAGAAAACAGTGAAGGGGAGCAGATGGCTGGCTGACCATTCTTGGTCCTTGTGCACATCTGCTTTAAGGTGTCACCTTCTGGATGCCTTGTGCCTGGCCATCATGACAGTAGCCAAGAATTGGATAGAAAGTGCCCCTTTGGGTAGTGAGATGGCTTAGCTGGCATAGGTACTTGCTGCCAACTGACAACCCGGGTTTGATCCCTGGAGCTCACGTGGTTGGAAGGAGAGAACCGACTCCTGCAAGGTGTCCTCCAATCTCCACACACAAGCACGCATACACTAAATAATATGCAATCATTTTCTAAAGGAATTCAAGCTTCCATACTGCACTAGCTTATCATTTCTCCTTAGCCTCCTCCTGTCACTCAGTCCTTGATCTTTGTTTTGAAGAGCGCTGGGCGGTTATTCTGCAGGCTCAATTATTAAGTTCAACTAAGTTCCACAGAGGACCACGGAAGTGACACTGTCCTTCCCAGTGTGTCGTATCCTCACATTCATGGTGTTAGGGTGACTTATTACTGGGGGTGCTGACCTCGGTTGCTTGGGTAATAGGGTGTGTGGTTAACCACAGAGTTGCTGTTATGGAGGATAATCTTTCATAGCTGCGTGGCTTTCCACCGTAGGTCATCAACAGTCAGACCCCGCCACTTATTTCCTTTGTGACCTTTTCTGCTGTTACAAAGATCGTCCTGGGGACCTTCCTTCTTGGCGCATCTTTGTGCAAAGCCCTGATTATTTCACTAGAAGAATTACAGCTACTGAGCTTGCTCACATTTTTAAGGCTGTGGAGACTGAGGAAGAGCTGTCGGCTTGTGTATGTGCGTGTGGCTCTGTCTGATTCAAGTGTAATGTACATAAAGAACGTGGCTTTGCAGCACAGTTTCCATGAGCTGGTGCATGTGACCACTCCCACATGAGCACCATCAGGTGTCCCTTTAGAGTCCCATCCTCACCCTAGACAGCCAGGGATCTGGTTTTATCGCCATAGCCTAGTGTTATGTATTCTGAGACTTTATATAAACAAGAACTATCGTGTAGAGTTGTGTGTGTGTGTGTGTGACATCCGTGTGTATACATGTCTTTTGTGTGTACATGTGCATGTGGAGGCCCCAAATTGATGTCAGGGTGTCTTCCTCAGTAACTCTCTACGTACTGAGGTAGGATTTCTCACTGAACCTGGAGCTCACAGATCCAGCTACTCTACTTAGCCAGCTTTCCCTGGGATCCCTTGTCCCTGATTCTCCAACTCTGAGATTATAGGTGAGCTGCCACAGCTACCTGGCTTTCATGTGAGCGGTAGGGATCTGAACTCCAGTCCTTGCATTTATTTAGTAAGTGCTTTATTCACTAAGCCATTTCCCTAGCCCACTATGGAGTCTCTCATAACCATCTTGGAAGTAGCATAATGCCTGTGAAATCCATCCACGTTGATAAACGTATCAGTCATCTGTTAGTTGCAATAAATGAGTAGTCTCCTAGTTTATAAATATTGCTAGAAGTGTTTTTATGTGTTCAACAACGGGTGATGCATTTGGGCAGTTTCCAGCCGGTGGGTCTTGTGACTACAGCTGCCAAAAACATTTCCCACAAGTGGACCCATGTCTATTTCTCTCGGGGATCCTCTTTGGAGGGGTGTCAGGGGTCCCCCCATCAAGTTAGTGTTCACTCTCATTAGATTCTGTGTAGAGGGGGTACATTTCTCTCCCTTTCCTAGTACAGGCCCTCATGAGACTTGTTCAAGGCCAAAGGGAAGAAGAACTCCTGAGCCTGTGCCCTGGCACCAAACTAGGTCCTCTTCCTGCTACTCTTTTAATTCTCAGAGCAACCCCATGGGGTAAAAAAATGGAAATCTCGGGCTGGAGAGATGGCTCAGAGGTTAAGAGCACTGGTTGATCTTCTGGAGATCCTGAGTTCAATTCCCAGCAACCACTTGGTGGCTCACAACCATCTATAATGAGATCTGGTGCCTTCTTCTGGCCTGAAGGCATTCATTCAGGCAGAACAGTGTATATATAATAAATAAATAAATAAATCCTTTTAAAAAATAAATAAAATGGGAATCTCACTCTGGGGCTTGTCAGTATACAGTCAACCCAGAAAAAGCCAGGCCCCATGTCAAGATCTTTCCCAAGGTAGCACCTTGTCGCACCTGCTGTGCGGCCTGCATCCGAGAATGTAGCCAGGTGGTCAGGATAGATGACACAGAGACCGGTCGGTTGCTTTAAGAAAACTTTATGCTTCCCAAGTTAGCTTAGGAGGAGACCCCAGTCCGCTTAGGAGAGAGCTCTCAGGAGAAGTCTCCAAGGAAAAAGAGCTTCCCTTTTTAAGGACTTCTGTCATCCATCTACATACAATTCTTTCCAGACTTCTCACCCTCCTGGCTGGTGGTTTAATCTCCGGCCCCAGAATTGGGGAGACACAGCAGGGGGGGGACAGGAAGAGGCATCTAGCCGCCGTAGGGGGTGTGAAAGTCATGGTATCTCAGTGAGCGAGCCCTTATCTGAGCCCTATCAAGAGCTTTAAAGCACTGAATTGTTTTCAGTAAACATTACACAGCTGCCTGCTCCCAGGCCGAAGGGGAAGTGGGTTTCTGCTCAAGGTCTGGTGTCCCCACAGCACCTGGCCCCCTTAGCGCTCCCAGCCTGGCTTTTCTAGCTCCTATCCTGTGGTGCCTGCCAGAGTCTGCCCTCTAGGGTAACTTGGGGTAGGCAGCAACTGTCCTCTGCCCTCCATACTGCACCCAATCAGACAGTGACAATGCCTGCCCACTGTCCAAAGTGTTGTGTTTCTCCACCCCTGACACCTGATCCTGGCACTTTGATCTTGTGGACAGTGGGCAGTGGGCGATAGACAAGGACTCCAGGCAGGAGCCGTGTCTCCCTGGCCACATCCATCGGTTCCCATTAGAGCCAGCTTGAGTGCTTTCCAAAGCTGATTAATGGCCTGCCTATGACCTGGACTGTCATTATGGCCGTGCCTGAGCCCCAGCTCTGTCCTCTGGGTCTTTGCTGCTAACACTAATTGATGCTTTTTGTGTGGCTGCAGGGAAAGTTTTATCTGGTCATCGAGGAGCTGAGCCAGCTGTTCAGATCACTCGTTCCCATCCAGCTGTGGTACAAGTATATCATGGGGGATGACTCCTCCAACAGCTACTTCCTAGGAGGGGTCCTGATCATTCTCTACAGTCTGTGCAAGGTGAGCTGGCCCAGGGCAGGCCGGGCCTGGCTTAAGGGGCTGCTGAGGAGCGAGGGCCAGCCGCTAATATTTTCAAATCAAAATATATTTCACATGGCATTGAATTAACCATCCATCAACCTGTCTTTTCTTTCTTTCCTTCTTTCTTTATTTTGTGCTGAGAATTGAATCCAAGGCTTTGCTCATAGAAGGCAGGCACTCTACCATTATGCCATATCCCTCTTTAAAACTCTGACACAGGTTCTCACTAAGTTCCCGGACCATCCTTGAACTCCCAACCCTCCTGCCTCAGCCTCTGGAGGAGCTGGGATTACAGACCTGCATCACCAGGCCTGGCTGCTGCTGACCTTATGTCATATGCAGTCAGTGGCATTTGCTGACACAGCATGCTGCAACCACCTCCTCTATATGTTTCCAAGCCTTGTCCCACAAAGGAACCCCGTATCTAGCTTTCCTGGGTAGCAGCCATTCTCCATTCCTGCTGCTTCCCAGCACCCAGCAGCCACTGATCCACACCCTGTGTCTGCAAATGTGCTGCTGTTGGGTGTTAGTTATCAGCGGAGTGTGCAACGACCTTTTGGGTGTGACTTGTTTGATTTACCATAACATTTTTGCGTTCACCCGCTTCATAGCATCGTAGCATGCACCAATACTTTTTTTTTTTTTGGTTGTGAGCCTAGCCTTTAACGGCTGAGCCATCTCTCCAGCCCAGCACCAATACTTTTTAAAATGAATTTATTTAGTATTGGAGGTGGGTCATGCGCATGCCACAGTGTACGTGTAGAGGTTCGAGGACAACTTGCAAGAGTCAGGTTTATCCTTCACCCATGTGGGTCCTGGGCATTGAACTCAGGAAGTCAGGCTTGATGGCAAGTATCTCTACCCACTAAACTATCCCATTGGTCCCTAAAAGGAAACTCATTCTCTGTCTTGCCTCTTTTCCTTCTCCTCTGGCTTTAAAGGCTCTATGGACAGTGAATGCATTCACTCTGCACCCTTCCTGCAGGACCAGTCAGGCAATCCAGGCAGAACCAGCCTTGGAGCCTTATGTTGCTCACTTTGATCAGCTACCAGTGACTGGCTGTAGTGGTGGTAGAGTGCTGTGATCGATTAGTAGTACCTTCCCTGGGCTTGGCAAGGGGAAAGACAGTATATATGCAATTTATCCATCTGATCAGGGTAACAGCAGAATATTGGGCATCAGGACAGAAATCAGGCAAAACGCAGGTAGAAGTGGGAAGACGTTTCCTGGAACTCATCTGAGGCAAAAGTTGGGGCTTCCAGAAGGTTCTCAGCCTTAACTCTGCTTTGCTTTCAGTCTTTCGACATCTGTGGTCGTGTGGGTGGAGTCAGGAAAGCACTGAAGCTACTTTGCACCTCCCAGGTGAGTGAGCCTGGGGCCCTGGGAACCAGACACTGCTGCCTGCAGCAGTCCTTTCTCACCCCACAGATACTGCTTCCCTTGAGGGCTCACGGCTCTTGTCCCCCCCTTCCTCAAACAGAATTACGGGGTTCGAGCCACTGGGCAGCAGTGCACAGAAGCAGGCTCCATCTGTGCCATCTGCCAGGCCGAGTTCCGAGACCCTATGATTCTCCTGTGCCAGGTGAGTAGACAGCACCCCGTTCTGGGAGCGCATCTCGGGCTCTAGCGTGGACTCGGGGGGGGGGGCAACCTGTCAAGACCAGAGACAGCTAGACCAGGGTTTGAATCCCAGCCCTGCCCCTTACTGGCGGGGTAGCCAACGGCAGCTGCTTTTCTCCCTGAAGCCTAGTGTTGGTAAATGTAGAACTTGTCCATCTTGGTATGTATGTGGATCTAACTCAGGGCCTCCTCATGCTGAGTGTGCATTGTACCTCTGAATACCTCCAACCCCCAGCAGCAGTCCATGTTTTTTGTTGTTTTGAGTGAGACAGGGTCTTACCGTGTCACTCAGGAATCCTCGAACACAGGATCCTCCTGCCTCTACCTCCCAGCATTGAGATCACAGGTGTGTTTTTGATCCCTGGTCATCTCCCCATGACAAATATAAAATGATCATGATGCTGCCTACTACATATGTGTCTGACTACAGTTAAAAGGAGTTAATACCGCCTGTTGCATCAGCTCTGGCTGCATTTAAATGAGATCATCTGTGCAGAGCTAAACCTGCATGGCTGAACTGCAGCAGTTGCCAGCATTGTCTTCGTTATTTTCTGCACAGTTATCATTATCCTTTGTTTTCATTATTATCGGGGGTCCCCAAGCCAAGGTGGTGAGTATCCCTTCCCCTCTTTCTGACATCAGGGGCCAGGTGTCAATTCAGTAAATGTGAGCCAGGTCAGAGCAACCAATCAGAGTTCAGAGGTGAGGTGAAGGATGCACAGAGCCTGTCCCTCCTCTGGAAGGTCTCGGTCTCCTTAGGGATACAGACACATATTCATAAATAACTATGAAACAAGGCAGGCAGTGATAAGAGCTGTGTAAGAGAGATTCATGCAGAGTCCCCAGGGACCGGGGCAGAGAGTGCCGTGCTCCAGTCTGAGCAGGCTTTTTGCATAAGCCTGGGTTCCAGAAGGACTGAGAAGAAAGGCAGATGGCCTCTCTAACACCCTCAGAAGATGGGATAGGAGGTAGAATCCTCTTTTAGCATTAGCAAGAAGAAATTTGTTATTGCTGCTTTTGAGAGAGACTTTATAGGAATTTGTTTTTAATTGAGGTTTTAATGTTTTGTCTTTTTTTCTGTTTTTCTTGCTTTCTTTCTTTTTGAGACTACATCTCATGTAGCCCAGACTAGTCTCATAGTCTCAAACTCACTGTGTAGCTAAGAATGCCTGAACCTGATCCTTCTGTCTGTGCCTCTCAAGTACAGGGATTGTAGGTGTGCACTGCCATGCCCAGGACCTTGTGTATGGTGGGGAGACAGTCTACTAACTGAACTGCAACCCATCCCCTTGATTTTTTTTTTAATTGACAGGGTAGTCAGGTGTGGCGGTGTACATCTTTAATTCTAGCACTTGAGAGGCAGAGGCAGAGGAATCTCCCTCTACAAGTTCTAGGCCAGCCTGGGCTCCACTTGGATCCCAGGGCAGAGGATGATAAAAACCGCAGTGTTCTGATGAAATTTAAATTGAGCCTGCAATCTATCAGTAGTAACGTGTCAACCCAGTTCTTTGCGCTTTGACAAATCCTCTTCCCGGTCATGCAATAATCAAACTTTTTCATGACTTTAAACTTCTTTCCAGAACAAAAGGGTTTGTTTGTTTTTTTAAAGAAAAAATTTTATGCAATATATACCAACATGGAGCCAGCAAAGTGGCAAGGTGTATCAGCAGGTGAAGGTGCTTACTATGCAGCCTGATGGCCTGAGTTCAGTCCCTGGGGCCCCATACATTCTCCCCTGACTCCCACACATGCGCCGTGGGTCATGGGCACACGCACACACCAAACAAATAAATAATGAATGCAAAGACTAGTGAGAGGCCACTTGCCCTCATCCTCAGGGCCTGTCCTGTCCTCGCCATCACAAGCAACTCTGTGGCCAGCATCCTTTATTTCTTGCCACAAATATTTTGTAGAATTTACAGTCATGTCAAACATATCGTGCACACACGTTATCTGGATTTATGTATACAAATGTACACACCCATACACATCTCTTAAACTGAGCTTGCCGCATAGTCTCCACGAGCTGTGTGTCGCTATGCACCTTTGTAGCCTGTGACTAGCACTTAGAGATCAGTTCTTATTCAGACTTAAGAGCTGCAGGCCCGACTTTCTGGGAATAGACTGCCATTTGTTTAGCGATTTCCTCACTGAGGCACAGTCTCCCAGCATCTTTTGTTGCTGCAAAGACGTCTGTCCCAAAGGTGACTGAAATAGATTGATCATGCCTGCCTGAGTCCACGGTGTTGATTAAATGAGATCACTCAGGTAGAGCCTCCCAAACCCCACATGGCCTGTGACCGGGGTTCAGCACAAGGTAGCTGTTCCTGGTAAGCATTCTGTCTCTGATGTGGACGTGCCCTTAGTAATGTGAATTCCTAGTGGTAGAATTACCAGGTCAGAGGGCCCTCCATTTTGGAGGATCTTGCTAAATTGCCCTCTTTGGAGAGACTACATTCCTATTCTTATACGAAGTGTGGCCAGCCTCTTGCTCCTACCCTGGCTTGCATGCGCACGCGGCCTTACCAAACCCCTTGCTTTGCCAGACTGACAGGTGACAGTGCTGTCTCAGCTCTGCTTTCATTTGCATTTCCCTAATTATGAGCGTGGCTGGGCATCTCTGCTCGTGCTTTGGAGCCATCTGTATTTCCTTCTCTGTGAGGGGGATTATCTGAACATGATGGCGAGTCATTCTCCTGGCAGTCTCTCCGCTCCTCAATCTGTCTGTCTCTCCCATTCTCCTGGTACCACACCTTCCCAAAGGTGGATGAGGAATTCTTGGGGGGGATGAACAAGACACCATTGTCTTAGGTCTGGGGGTGACAGCCACACACAGTGGTCAACTGAGCTCGCATCTCCACCTTGCTCTGCTGCTGTGTGCTGGGCCTGCAAGGGCAGAGAAGCCCCATGCAGATGAAAGGGCCTTATTGTCATTGGATGAATGGATGAATGAATGAATGAGCTCAGATGTTACTTAAGAAAGGTTCCCCATTTCCCCATTCGTGCTTTCCCAGACTAGCCATGTTCTTGGCTACTGTGGTCTTACACACCATGGTCTTTTTGTTTGTTTGTTTGTTTTTCGAGACAGGGTTTCTCTGTATTGTTTTAGAGGCTATCCTGGAACTCGCTCTGTAGACCAGGCTGGCCTCAAACTCACAGACACTCACAAACTCACCTGCCTCTGCCTCCCAGGTGCTGGGATTAAAGGCGTGCGCCACCACCGCCCAGTGCACACCATGGTCTTCCATAGTGTGTTCTTTACATTATGGTCTTATACACTATGGTCTTACATACCTTATACACTGTGGGTGTTCACCACAGATCACTTTCTAGTTGTTACCATGATCATTTATGGATTTAATGATTGTGCAAGGTCTGTCTCCCCTTAGCCAAACTGCAAGCACATTGAGAATGGAGGCTATGACTGTCTTGTTTAGCATCAGAGACATAGTCCTGGCACAGTGAGTATTGGGTGGGTGGATAGTTGGGATGAATGGATATGGATGAATGGATGGATATGGGTGGATGGGTGGATAGATAGATGTGGGTGAATAGATAGGTAGGTGAATGGATGAATATGGATGGATTACATGAGTGGATGGACTGATATTAATAGATGGGGATGGTTGGATAGGTAGGTAGATGGATGGGTGGGTGGGTGGATGGGTGGATGGATGGGTGGGTGGGTGGGTGGGTGGATGGATGGATGGATGGATGGATGGATGGATGGATGGGTGGGTGGGTGGATGGGTGGATGGATGGATGGATGGGTGGGTGGGTGGATGGGTGGATGGATGGATGGATGGATGGATGGATGGATGGATGGGTGGGTGGGTGGGTGGGTGGGTGGATGGATGGATGGGTGGGTGGGTGGGTGGGTGGGTGGGTGGGTGGATGGATGGATGGATGGATGGATGGATGGATGGGTGGGTGGGTGGATGATGGATTGTCGCACCTGCTGTGCAGCCTGCATCCGAGAATGTAGCGAGGTGGTCGGGATAGATGACACAGAGACCGGTCGGTTGCTTTAAGAAAACTTTATGCTTCCCAAGTTAGCTTAGGAGGAGAACCCAAGTCTGCTTAGGAGGAGAGAAGTCTCCCCAAGAAAAAAAACACTTCCCTTTTTAAGGACTTCTGCCATCCATCTACATACAATTCTCCAACAGCTCTCCCAGACTTCTCACCCTCCTGGCTTGTGGTTTAATCTCCAGCCCCAGAATCGGGGAGAAACAGCAGGGGGAACAGGAAGAAGCATCTAGCCGTAGGGGGTGTCAAAGTCATGGTGTTTCAGTGAGCCCTTATCTGAGCCCTTATCTGAGCCCTATCAAGAGCTTTATAGCACTGAATTGTTTTCAGTAAACATTATCTCACAGCTGCCTGCTCCCAGGCCGAAGAGGAAGTGGGTCTCTGTTCAAGGTCTGGTGTCCCCACAATGGATGGATGGATGGATGGGTGGATGGATATGTGGGTGGGTGGATGGATGGATGGGTGAGTGAATGGATAGATGGATTGATAGGTGGATGGATAGATGGATGGATGAATGGATGAATAGGTAGATGGGCATTGGATGGATGGAGAACCTACTTGTCTTCTCTCCTCTTCAAAGAGTTATAGGGTGAACCTTAGCATGTCACTTCTTCCACCTTCAATGCACTCCTTGAAGTAGTACCCCAGACACAGATTGTGGATGTAAGATCATCAGACAGTGAGTATCCACAGAGGCTGTAGCTCTGCTCCCATGCTGGTCCATGTAGTCTCTCCATCTGTTCATAGTGTCCCACCCACCAGAACACAGGAGCTCAGGAAATTGGAGACACTCAACACAAAGTTGGACTTCTTTATAAAGGACTCCTTCACCAAAGAGCAGAGAGTGTCAGAGAACAAAGTGCTCTCCTGATTCTTGACCACTATGAGCCTGGCTGAGTGTGTGAACATTCTGGACCACTGTGATCCTGGCTGAGTGTGAACATTCTGGACTACTGTGAACCTGGCTGAGTGTGTGAACATTCTGGACCACTGTGAACCTGACTGTGTTAACAGAACAGCCAACAAGAAGTCAGGAGAACCATGACACTCATTGATTTGAGGCTTAAAATTTGTTCAGACTTGATGCTTAAGAGGCTGAATCCATTTAGACTCTTTGTGGAGAGAGAAAGGTCCTGTTTATTAACAGAACAGACTCAGGCTCACAAAGACAGACTTGCTCACCCAAGTTATAGACCCAGGAACCAAACCCAGGGACTCTAGTGCTGTTGACTCTGCTCTTTCTAAGCCTCAGCCTCTTGCCTGGAGGTGTCCTATAGGCTGTGCTGGCAGATTAGGGCACCTTTTCTGGAATTCTTGCCAACATGCTGCTATCTGTCCAGCAAAGCCTATGCTCATTTGACCTCCTCGGGATGAGGGAATAGCTGAGCTGGGATCCAGGTTCTGCACACCTGCCTGGGATTGCTGCATCCTTTCTCTTATGTGCTAAATACTTCCTTTGTCTTTTGAGACAAGGTTTTCTTTGGATAGCCCTGGCTGTCCTAAATTTGATTAATTGATATTGGTTGATTGATTGATGTGTTTGTGTGTCTTGTTGTATAATAACCATATCTCTGCCAAGATTTTACAGAATCAATTGTTTCTGACCTCATGTCCCAGAACCTCCCTATGTGCACACTAGCACATAACAGGTGATGATTTTGCTAGAGTCAGACACTCTGTATCAGCTACCACTGCTACATAACAAATTATTCCAGAACTTAGCAACGCTATAAACATCTGTGACCTCATAGTTCTCATGGGCCACGAATTCAAGCACAGATTAGCTGGGCCCTCTGCTTTGAGATGACTCACAAAGTAACATCAAGGGTCTCCTTGCTCACCTGAAGGAGCAGCTGATTACAAGCTTTAGGGTACAGTTATGAACTGGCTTCAGTTCCTTGTGACCTAAATGACTGAAAGTTTCTTGATTGCTGTTGTAGCCAGAAACTGCCCTGCCTTCCTTACCAAGCTGGTAATGTTGGAACAAACCTATGAGGATCTCAGAGAATGTGAGCAAGGCGAAAGTCATGGTTTCTATAATCTAATCCGGAAGTCACCCCCATTGCTGTATTGTCGTGTTAGAAGCAATGCAGCCAGGGTAGAGGTCCACAAGCTGGTGGATCCTAGGAGGAAAAGGTCACTCCAGGCCATGATAGACAGCTGCCTGCCACACTCCTGTGAATCCTAGTCCCACTGCCTAGCTGCTGTGTGTCCTTGGGCCTGTGTCTTCCCCTCTCTGAGTCTTGACCCCATCATTTCTTGGTGATCAGTGGCGTAGAGTTCATTAGCAGTGAGGGGACGGTGGGCTGACCTGCTGGCCTCACCTGTGACTCTGCTTCCCCCAGGCTCACTTCCTCCACCATCCTCAGCTCACACATAAGCCTTGGGATGAGATGCCCTTCTGCCTTCACGCAGGGCTGGCTTCTGTGGTTTGCCCAGCCGTGTGCTGTCTACGCTGTCTCAGAGCACAGTGTAAGACTCCATTCAGGTAGCCAGTGTATGAGTACAGTTCCTAGGGCTCCATGACCAGTGAGTCACAGCCTGGAGAAGAGAACCCTCCAGTCCAGCTGCATTCCTGGCCAGCTGACCCCAGCTAGGAAAAACACTACATCCTGTCCTCATATGCCTCCTCCCTCTGTAGAGGTAGACCGAGGCAGGCTGAAGCTCATGAACTCCTCAGCCAGGGCTCCGGGCAGACCTGGCTCCTTGAATTCCTGATTCACTTGGCCCTGGGCTCCGTCAGTTCTCCGCTGAGGAGGCAGACACATGGTCTTCGTCCTCACCCTAGAGTCCCATGAGTCTCTGTCCTGACCCACATCCATTTCTCAGACACAGTGATAGAGGTAATCAAGGCTATGCCAGAAACCAATGGGGAAAAAAAATCATGTGTTAGGCTGTCGTGTCTAAGCCAATTTCACATGTCTGCTAAGCGTGCTAATACAGAGTTACTACACCCATTTTGCAGATGAAGAAAGCAAGTCACGAGGAAGTTAAGTCACTCACCCAACATTTATGGCCTGTGTGGGAACCTGTGTGGACCAGCGTGTTCCCAACTTAACAAGCAAACGGGTCTTTTAAATTTATAAAATTATAAACCGTATGCTGGAAATGTAAGCTTGCTTGGCAGAGTTTTCACCTGACATGTACAAAGTGCTGGGGTCAGTCCTCAGTACTGAATAAACCTGGCACGGGTATCTACCTGTCACTCTAGCACTGGGGAGCTACAGTCAGGAGGGTTACCAGTTCAAGGTCATCCTCAGCTACATAGCAAGTTTGACACCTGGATGAGGTCCTATCCATTCTTTTTGTTTTTGTTTTTAAGGAAATCCTGTCAGGTCAGCCTCTGCTCAGAGCCTTATCCTGGCTCCACATTTCTCCCAGAATAAAAGCCAAACTAGGCATTGTGCCTCATGCCTGCATCTGGAGGTTGAGGCAGGAAGCTCAGCCAAGAGTTCAAGGCCAACATTGGCTTTAATAGTGAGTTCCAGGTCAGTCTATAAACTACAGAATGAGACCCTGACTCAAAGAAAGATAATATCCACCAAAAAGAAAAACTGTCCAAGTCCTCCCAGAGCTCCCAGGGCCCTAAACAGTCTGTGCCCCCATCAGCCCTGTGACCTCATGTGTGTATGTCTGCCTCAGCGCCCCCTTGCCCCTCTGACTCAGCCACACAGCCTGGTCTCAGAGCCTTTGAGCATGCTGTTCAGGGCCCTCCCCACATCCAACTCCACCCTCCCACAAAAGTGCTACCTTCTCAGGGATGTTTCCCCAGACCCCACCTCTGCCTTCCAGACAGAACACCAGCTACTGACATTTCTATTTTAGAGTGTCGGGGCCCATTGTCTCCCCTCCTGGAATGCAAGCCCCTGGAGGGCATGGATGGCCCTCTTAGTTTGCTGCTGTCCCCAGCTCCTCCTGGATCACACTCATTCCCCCTGCTGTCCCCGCTGCAGCATGTGTTCTGTGAGGAGTGCCTCTGCCTGTGGCTGGACCGGGAGCGCACCTGCCCCCTCTGCCGCTCCGTTGCTGTGGATACCCTGCGATGCTGGAAGGATGGGGCCACGTCTGCACACCTGCAGGTGTACTAAGCTGAACACAAGTGTCTGGAGATGCCAGAGGGCCCAGAACCTCTGAGCCCAGTCCTGAGGAATCCTGGGAAACAACCTCCAGCGCTTTCTCCTGCCTTCCTCCAACTTTACCTGTTGGCCCCAGGGTCTCCCCACCAACACATTCCTCATCACCCTGGTACAGAGTGTGCAACCTGCCCCACCAGAAAGGGGACCCTTCCTCACTCAGGCCTGGCTTCCCTGCAGGTAGGTGGTCCATCCTCTCAAAGTGGAGGAATTGCCCTTACACAATCTCCCCTTATTTAACCCTACTCCAGCGGCTGGTACTCGGTCTGAGCTGAAAGAGGACAGCGTGTCAGCATGTGACTCAGGTTTGCAAATGAGAGCCACTGGGGAGGGGGAGGGAATTTCACCAAGTCAACACCAGGCTGTGCCCCGCCTACATAAGGACACCTGAGGTGAGAAGCCAGGTGTGGTCACCCAGCTAGCACAGGTGGATGAGTCTCCAGCGCTGCCTGGTGCTATTGCTGCAAGTACAGAGGCCAGCAGAGCTAGCTTATTGGAAGAACATAGGCCGTTCTCGTGTCCCTCGGTGGCTGGAAATCAGTGGCCTGGGCATACAGCGTGGCAGAGGCAGACATGCTGAGTGCCCAGGCTGTGAATGCTGGTCCCTGAGATCAAATGGTGGGAGCCATGGAAAGACTTGACCTTCCTGATTCCTTTGTTCCGTGGCTCTGCCAGGGACAGTCCATCTCAAAGGGGTCTCTGCCATTTCTTCTATCCTCATTCCCTTCTGTGCACTCCCCCACTGGCAGCTCAAGTCTGTGCAGAGCTCCAGTGGACATGGCTGCCTCTCCCGGGAGCCTTCGGAGCTAACAGTTCAATCCATGTCCTAGATGGCACACAGCTCAGGAGCAATCAATCCCTCCCTCTCGCTCCACCCCTGCCCTCTAGTGAGGTAATTAGTTCAAAGAAACAACAGTCCTTCAGCGTCTCTGAAAAGACTGGTTAACCAAAAGCCAGAGAGGGGCCGCAGGGAATGCTGGGAGCAGGCACACAGGTGTACTTCACATTGGAGTCTCTAGGATGCAGCTGCTGCTCCCGTTGGGAAACTCTGCTTGGAAACCTGGGTTGAGATAGCACAGGTGACCACACAGAAGCCTCTGGACGCCTGACTGCCTTCCCCCTCTCCCAACTCTGTTCTCTTATTGTCGATATCCTCACAACAGGATGGCTTCAGCCACGTTTGAGAAAACCGCGCATGGCTAGTGGACAGATTAGCATACATGCCTTGGGGGAGATGGGGGCCTCACTGCCATCTCCCTCCCCTCAGTAGATTCAGAACTCATGCCCTGGGCACCCTCGCCTGGACTTCTTCCTCTGTTTGGTTTCCTTGACTCATTCCTGGTGCCTGCAAGACACCCTTTCCGGGGGATCATGGCATCCTTCAAGTTCTGTTACTATGGCAATGGCCATGATGTTAAACAATCTCACTGTCTGGATGTTCTAAGAGGAAAGGGATGATGGATCCCTCTGTTCTCTCTGGCTCGAGGTTTGTATCTGAGAGATTGCTTTGTCTGTCAACATTATGGAGGGTTTGGAGCTGGGGGAGACTCACAGAAGTGTAGTGTGGGTTGGAGCAGAAGCAGCCATTAGGAATCCATCTTGGAAACCCAACTCCACGCTCTGCATGATTCTGTGCTGTCCCTGTACACTGAAGCCATCATTGGGGCTTCAAAACCCAGATACTTGGAGGGACTGAGAAAACTTACCAGGTCTGCAGGTGACAGCTCCACTGGTAGAGCACTTGCCTGGCATGCAGGAAGCCCTGAGTTCCATGCCCAGCACCACATAAACTAGGCATGGCTGTGCACTCCTGTAATGCTTGCACTTGGAGGTAGAGGCAGGAGGATCAGAAGATCAAGTCCATTCCCTGGCTACAAAACAAGTTCCAGGATAGCCTGGGCTACCTGAGTTTTAAAGGGAGAGAAGGTAAACTAGCGGTGTGGGTTACTGGTGAATGCTCCAGTGGTTTCCCCACCCACTCACCCCTATTACCTTTCTAACACTGTGTAAATGTAAACTATATGCCTGCCAGATAAAGAATGCCTCAGGTGGGGGCATTCTCCAGAGACAGTGAGATGGCGTAGTCTAGGATCTTATTTGTTCGTTTCCCACCCTCTGAGGGGACACCACATCAGGGGGTTTCTTCCAGCTTAGATGGCTCTGCTTCTGTCCTTCCCACATACACTGAGCTATGGGAAAGTGGCCCCTGGAAAGCCTGCCACACCCTTCATCCTGCTGTGGCGTGTGAGTCCTTTGTATTGAGGGGGTCAGTGGGCATCGGGTTCTATACCTGGCTCCCGGCATTTGGGTATTTTGATTTTGTGGGTCACAGATGCAAATCACACTGAGTCCTCGGAGTCTTGTTTGTGCATAAGAACCTGAGAATAATAAGGCAAGGAGGGCTGCAGAGAGGGGAGAGCCATTACGAGTGCTTGCCACTCTTCGGAGGCCCAGGTGCAATTCCCAGCACTCACAGCAAGGGGCTCACAACTGCTGTTAACTCCAGCTCCAGGGAAATGGAAGCTCTCATCTGGCCTCCACAGGCACCTACACATATATGGCCTGTACATGTATGTCGGGGGGGGGCACGTGTGCACACACATAATTTAAAACAAAATAAGTCTTCAAGAAGTGTGTGGGACCAGGTGGTGGTGGTGTATGCCTTGAAGCCCAGCATTCTAGAGGCAGAGGCAGGTGAGGCCAGCCTGGTGTACAAAGCTACACAGAAAAACCCTGCCTCGAAAACCAATAATAAAAAAAGAAGAAATGCGTGGGAAGAAGAAAGGCCCTCTTTGGATCTGAGTTTGACAGGGCTAGCATTTTCCAAAGGGAATGACACACAGGTACGGAGCCCCGATGCTAAGGAGAAAATGGGCAGCCGTCCTGGGGTCTGTGGTGCTTTCTTCTGGGACATGTGTCTGTCTTTGGTGTCTTTGAGAACCTTCTGCTAATAAACTTCCCCTGTGGATGCAACTTGTACTCGTGGGTCAGTCGGCCTCCTGAAGCCAGGCATGCAGCACCTGATGAGATACCATGGATGCTTCTCTCTAGAGAAGCCAAGAAAAAAAATAAGAGAAAGCGGGTTGGCTGCTCAGGTGCCTTTGTAGGTGGAATGCTTGCCACACAAGCATGAGGACCTGAGTTTGGATCCTAGAACCCATGCACCCATTTAAAAACTGGGTGTAGCAGCATGTCTGTGGGGTTGGGGAAGACAAGTGAATTCCCCAGAGTCAGCCAGCCTAGCTCCTAATTCAGAGATGCAGCCTCCAAAAATAAAGTGGAGAGGGACAGATGAAGACACTGAGTGTTGACCTCTGGCCTCCATATAGACATGGATGCACATAAACACTATCACATACACACAAAAGAGGAGACCTGAGAGGCAGCCATGCTGGACCTTGGCCTATGGGGAGAGAGTCTCCAGAGACATCCCAAGGGAGGCTCTAGCATAGGCTGTGTCTGAGACTACCCCACTCTGACTTCAGGACCCACAAAAACACCAAGGGATTCTTGACTCTGAATTGAGGGTGGTCTTTGGGGCACTTTAGTCTGTGTGTCCTGGAGGCCCCACATCTCAGCGCTGTCCGGGTGCCATCACAGCACACCCGCTGCTGGGTGGGGTGTAGAATTGGTGGTGATCAGGAAAGGCTTGCCCTGCCAGGGCACGCTCAGTGCCGGAGAGTCTGCTTAGATCCTGTCAGTGAGGGTGGGCACGTGTCTGGGTGGAAGAATGCTTGCCGAGTATGTGCAGTATCTGGGTCCCATCAGTGAGTGGGTGACTCATCTAGATGTCATGGCTCACAACTATAATGAAGACCAAGAGGACGACCGAGAGTTCAGGGAAGTCCCCAGCTTTATAGTGAACTCTGTCTCCAAAACCAACATTTAATTTAAGCAAATACAGAGCCTGCTAGGGATCTAACAGGGGTGGAAACCCAAGTGCAAGTTAGTGGTGTCAGGTGACAATTGTGCCCCTAAGGGGCTTCCCAGCCACCTAGCCTAGCTGCCCCAGTGAGCTGCAGGTCAATGAGGAGACCCAGTTTCAAAATACAAGGTGGAGCTGGGCATAGTGGCACATACTTTTAATCCCTGCACTCAGGAGCAGAGGCAATGGACCTCTGAGTGCCTGGTCAACTTGTTGAGTTCCAGGCTAGCCCAGGCTACACAGTGAGATCCTGCCCAAAAACACCAAAACAACCAAACAAAAAGCGAGGTGGACAGCTCCTGAGGCTGACCTCTCTCCCATGTGCAAGCACACACAAAACAGGAGGTTGAGTGAGTGTGTGGCCTCAGCTTTCCAGCGAGCTGAGGGGTGGGGGTGCCTGTGCAGGTCAGGAGTCCTCGGCCACCATACAGCCATGGCCATCTTGTGCCCCACCTTCCCAGAGGAAACACACACAAAGGCTTTCATTACAGGTACACAGTCAATTTTTTAATAAAAGTGTAACAAATATGTACAAAGCATCCAGGTAGGAAATTCCCCTTACAAAAGAGCACAAGGCAACAACGTCAGGACCCAGACAGAATGTCCCCCCAAGTTACTGCCTCTCCCCCAGGCTCCAAATGTCCTCACAGCCACCTCTGCCACATACGTGGGCTCCTTGACTCTTGTAGTGCAAAGACCTCGGGGGATCTGGGGTTCAGGGGAGAAGATAGGTAAGAGAGAGGTAAGAAAAACTTCCACAGCCTAGGAAGCGAGTGGAACAGGGCATTTGCCCTGGAGTTTATTGAAACCGGGGCAACCCCCTGAAATCATTCAACATGCTCGCAAGTGTCCCACAAATAAGGCCCTCTTTCCTTTGAGTTAATGTAAACACCCCTGCTGGCCCACAGGGGTGTCCTTGCCCTTGGACTAGCAATGTCTGCCCTTGAGCTAGAAAACAACGCTTGTTTTCAAATGAGCAACACCAGAACCCCTTGATCTAGTAAAGCAGGTACCTCACTGGCTTGAGAAGTCACACAGACTCAAATGCAAACCTTGGCTCAGCCACTTTGCCATGCGGGTGCCTTGGGTTTCCTAACCTGTAAAATGGGATCATAGGTACTACCAGTAGGGTGGGAATCTCTCAGGCAAAGTCTTGGAAAAGCACCTCATGCAGGGCTCTGTGATGCGTGGTACTCACTCTGTGAAGGGGTCTTTGATTATTGTACAAAGGGACCAGTCTTCCTGCGGAGGAGACAGCATAGCAAGCTTTTTAATCGCATTCAGCCCAGAGCATGGCATGCAAAAAAATACCATATAGCAATCTGCCAGCAAGGCGTGGGGGTCACAATGATGACCTGGCAGATCTGTTACAAATTATGAGCCAGACTGAAAAGGGACATTTCACGGCATCTGGTCTCCAAAAGGACTGTTGCTGTGCCATAACTAAGTCAGTTTGTTCTGAGGTGGAGGTCTCCAGCTGGCACACTGTAGATGCTCAATAAATAGGTGCCGAGTGAATCGATCACAATGCTAAAAAAGATAAACTTTTGGCTAACGCTTTCAAAAGACACTGTGATGTCAGTGTACACACTTTATGGAGCTCCAGATCAGCTCGTGTGGGAATAATCTGCTCCTTCCCCGCCATAATCCTCAACCAACTTCTGATCCCCGGTCTCCCCCAATTTGACTTCAGACTCAGAAAATAGTACGAACACAGAAGAGAACCTGTGTTCTGGTCACTGAAGCTTCTAATAGTTCACTGTGGACATCCAAATAGTCCACTGCATAAGCCAGGTGTAGTGGCCCACACCTGTAATCAGGAGGTGGAGGCAAGGGGATCGAGAGTTTAGGGCAATCCTCTGCTGTATCGTGAGTTCAAGACCAGTCAGGGCTCCATGTCTCAAAAAACAGTAACAACAAACATAAATAGTCTATAGTAGTGACCCAGTGTCTCCCAAAGATACTCATACACAGTGTGCCAGGGTATGCTCCCTCCCTCAGGTCTCAGTGAAGAAGAACAACAGTTGGTCAATTTCAGAAACATGACAATAGAATCAGGTGCACACTAGTCATGAGCTCAGCTATATGAAGTGTCTTTCGCAGCCTCCTTATCCTTCGACAGTATGTTTAAGTCACCATCCCCCATGACGGCAGGCCATCCACAGAGGTGAAGAAGTATGACCGTGAAGCTGGGGAGTGGGGACGGAAATGTCCAGGGGTGTGTCGTCCTGGGCCAGGACACTGTCCTTACTGGGCTCGCCAAAACGACTCTGGCTCAGACTCCATCTAGACAAAGGGACATGGAACCCAAAACTTGGACAGAGCTCTTGCTTGTTGAGGATGAGGTAAAGCAGAGAAGCTTCCAGAAGGGAGTGGACCTACTCTGAAAGGTTTAAATCCCACAGACTCCAGGACCCTCGCCCTCAGAGCAGGCAGCAGCTTTTGAACCCTGGTGGCAGATAGCACCTCATCTCATCACACGGCCAGCTCTCTAGTGATGATCTCAGAGGCCTCCTAGGCTTTGCATGAACACACACACACACACACACACACACACACACACATACACACACACACACACACACACACCCCACACACTGCTGTCTGCTGAAACCCAGTATGAGGTCTTTTTAAAAATTCTTTTCAAAGCCTGACTCCCCCTCTTTCCCTCTTCACAGACTCTGCAGAGAAGCAAATCAAAATCAGTGCTCCTTGGCAGCCAGGGGAAGCAGGGGGATGAAAGGGAGGGATGGTGCCAGCACTTCACACACTGTGGAAGTTGAATTTGTTGTTGTTGTTTGTTTTTTATCTTTTTGCAATAACACCATTCACAGAAAAGCCCATCCCACTATCTCAGGCAGTCCAAGTAACACCACATCAGAGACAGTGGAGACAATAGAAACACAGCTAGCATGCTTCCATATCCTAATACAAATGTCCATCAAGAAGTCAAATCTCATATAAAAACAGCATTTAAAAACAACCCCATCAAATTCGGGGCAATGGAGAAGAAGCCCATTCAAATGAACAGTGGCAGCGTGCGAGTCAAGCCACGCCCCCTCACCCACCCCCAAGTCAATAAATACATGGTTTCCATTACTATGGGATAATATTTACAGAGGACTTGGCTGAAAAGTTCCATTGGGAGGTCATGGGTGCCCGGGTTCTCTCAGCAACACAGCTTCATTGAAATGAAAATCACCGGAGATGCCAACCCCTGTGTTTGGAGTTCAAATCCTCCAGGGAGATATCATAGGCTAACAGGCAATGTCAAGCTCAAAAACAAAACACAAAAAGGGAGGTATTCTCTGCCCTCCTGCCCTCGCACTGGGTCTCTGTGGCGTCAGCATGTCCCCGCTGTGATCTTGACAATATCTCTTTAAAGGGGCTGATATCTGTGACTCCCACCATGGCAAGCACCTTCCCTAGAAATACATGCTTTGCAAAGACTCTGTTCCTTGCTAGGAAGCGGACTAAATACAAATAGAGAGTGTTTTCCAGATCATTCTGGAACCCTCTGTGTAATTCCAGCTTGGCAAGGGTACGGCCTGCTGCCAGCTGCCTCCCTGCCAAGTAAACTTTATTTTTTTTTTCCTTTGCTGAGTTCAATTCTGGCAGTTAAGGGGGGGGGGGCTTCAGCCTTAAATTCTCAGTTGCGTTTTTCTTTAATCGGTTACTTAGAGAAATATAAGGCATGGATTCAATATGGAGAAGGAAAAAGAATGAAAGGAACCAGTCGTCAGCAAACTGGGAGGGTGTGCACTGCAGGACCTGGTCACGCTGAGCATAGTTACCCGGGACCATTTCCCTTGTAGCCCTGTGCACCCTAATAGCTGATGCTTCCTAGCAGACCCTCTCCCTGATCCCCAGGCACCACACGAGTGGCCTACAAATCCAGGCAGGAGAAAATGACTCTCCCCCTGGCAGGCAGTGTCCCAAATGCTGGATGCCAAGGCAGGGAGGCTCATGACGGGAGGTCAGCTTGGTCTCCAGGGCCAGACCTTGTCTCCAGAATTAAAAAGGGGAAACAATAAAAATAAGAGCACTGTCTCACTGAGCCCACAGCACGCTTGCTCACCATCTCAGCCACGAAGACCGCAGTGGAGGCAAGAAAGTATCCATGCAGGGGAATAATACCTGTTTCTGTTGGAATGGTTTTTTAAATAAAAGCAAAAATTAGTCATCACTCCTGAAGCAGTGAGCCTTGGCAGCCAGATACCAGTCAGGCGCACAGCTTCATTTTATATATTTATATATGTATATATATATGTATTTATATATATGTATTTAGCCCTTCTAGAAACTTCTGAAAACAGTAGCTTATCCTATATGTGTTTGGGGAGCAGAAATCGGACATTTCATGTAAAAGGTCCGCCCCCACCCCTAACATCCCCTGCTTTAAAGCACACTCCATCAGAATGCAGCCATTTCTTGGCTCTTAAATCTGTAAAACCTAAGCCCTGAATCCCCTCAGGAAGTGGGGGAGTCCACAGCAGTCTCCCAGGGTATTGCTGCAGGGGGAGGGGGAGCCACCATCTCTTCTGCAGCTTCTGCTCTATCCTGGCTTGCCCCTCCTCCCTCCCAGCCCCACCCCCAGGGGGTTGCTCCTAAGCCCCTGTGAGCATTCCCCCTCCCCCATAGAGAGACTCTCCAGTGGCACTTTGTCACTTGGCCCTAAAAAAAAAAAAAAAAAAAAAAAGAGTATATCCAAAGAGCAAAGTAGAAACCTGCCATCCCCTGGCCTTTCGGGTCTGTCAGTAAGACGATGGCCACACCAAGGACACACTTAGCACCAAGAAAATTTGAAGTGAAGCACCAGACACACCAGACAGGTAGGAAAAGAAAATGACATCCGTTTCTCTGGCTGCAACCTCGAGATCTAGATAACTGTCTAGACAGGGACAGAGAGAGGCTAGGGTGTGTCAAGAAATGGAGGGACCCCAGGCTGCCCCCAACAAAACGGGTCCCACATCCCCTCTGTCCGTCTCGCCTTTGGCACAGCTCCCACTACTCCATGCCAGCATCTGTGCTGGGCAGTTGGTCCATGCCGAGGCTGATCCCACCAGTCCGTGTAAGTTTCCAGCACACACACAGTGGCAAGCATCTCTCTCCCCTGCTCCCCCAGACATTACAAAGTCTCAAAGTTCACATTGCAAGGTGCAGAAAGGGGAGGGACCATGTCCCCCGCAGGCATGCACATACGGAATTTTGTATTTTCTCTTTTTTTTGTGTATATGTATATATATAGCTATATGTAAATAGCATTGGGGTGGCTATCTCTGCAACTGGACTTCCCGGGGGGGCTTCCTCAGTCCACGTTTCCACCATCAACTCTGGATGGGTCTTTCCACTCTGCTTCCTTCCAAGCTCCGGGCTCCCCCCTCAGGAAAACAGGAACCAGCTTCCTCCAAGGACACAGGGTTTCGCCAACCTGTGGAAATAAAGATTTGTTTTTCTGTCAGCACAGTCCGCTTCCTGGGTGATGTCAGTGCAGAAGGGGAGGGGAAGAGGGGGATTTGCAACACAAAGCTCTGGTTGGGGAGGAGAGGGCTCCCCAAAGCCAAGCCTGGCTCTTCTGTCAGTCCCAGAGGAGCAGCCTTCCTTCCCCAAGTGTGCACACCACAACACACACACACATACACACACACACACACACACACACACACACACACACACACACACACACGCAGGCACGCACGCACCCTTCTGCTTTCAGACATGGGCATCATCTGTAATTAAAAACAGAATTTGAGCCAGGTGTGGTGGCACACACCTTTGATCCCAGCACTCCAGAGGCAGAGGCAGGCAGATCTCTGTGAGTTCAAACCCAGCCTAGTCTACAGAGCCATTTTCAGGACAGCCAGGGCTATACAGAGAAACTCTATGTAGCCTAGCACGCAAGAAACCTCTGGTTCCATCCCCAGCACTGCAGTAAATCATACATGGTCTTGCATGTCTATAATTCAAGCTCTTGGAAGGTGGAGGCAGGAAGATCAAGAGTACAAGGTCATCCTTGGCCACTCCCAGAAACCAGGAAGTTCCAGGGTGATAGTCCCCTATGATATAAGACCCTGCCTGGGAGTGAGGAAGTGGGAATTTTGGGTTGAATTTTGGCCTTGAAGGTAAGTACTGTTCTCTGTACCAAAATTAAATAAGTTTATTAATAGTAACAGATAAATGACAGGTAGATGATAATAGGTAAATAATTGATAAATGATGGGTGTAGTAGGTAGGTTAATAAGTAGGTGAGGGGTAAGTAGATGGATTAATGAAAACCTAGAGGCTTGTGACCCTTCTCTATTCAGGAACAGATTATTCATCTACTCTTCTCACACCTCCATCTCCCCATATTCCAGACATATTTGTGGACAGTCGGTTTTCTCACTTGACCATTATAAACACACACCCCAGTGCTATGAGCCACTGCCGTGCTCCTTTCCCGTGGGAGGTTCCAGGGCCAGCAGGGGCAGAGGAGAATAAGTTCCCAATACTGCTCTCCTGAAGAGCAGGTGCAGTCTGGGAAACATGGCCTATGGCAGCCCAAGGAGAGGCAGCACATAGGCACCGAGGCTCCCGAGAGAGATCTCTAATGAGAGTCGAATTCCAAAGAACTAGCCTGGATACAATGAGACTCTTAAGGCTGGATATGAGGGAAAAAAATAAAGGTAGCAAGCCATTGAGCATGCATGCACGCGCGTGCACGTGCACACACACACACACACACACCAAACATTAAAAACTGGTGCACAGTAAACATCACACTGCCTGGTACAGTCAGAAGATTCTCTGATAAAGGATGGGGGCAGCACCAGTCCATTGGTATAAACCCAAGCATGGAAGGCAGTTTGCTAATATGACTATGTAGCAGAACAGTAATAGTTAGGGCCCCCTCTTGGGCTACAAGTCTCCCCCAGGAAAGGGTGCTTAATCAGCTTTAGAGAACGAGACAAGACTTCCCTCCTTTGGAAAAGGCCTCAAATCAAATGGTAAAGTGATTGGTTGCTGCCATAGCATTCATGTCACTATTGCTCTAGAGGCTAAAATACTGAAAATAAGTGATGGCGGAGTGCTTACCCCCCAGTTGTTACCCCAGTGGGGACATACGTAACAACCCCTCAGGCCCAGGAGACATCACCAAAGAGGAGGGCAGAAAAAAATGTAAGAGCTGAGGATGAAAGAATGTATATCAAAAATATCTCTTCTGGACATGACACGTCATGACAAGATTGGGCCCACCGACACTTCATCATGGATCGTGAAAGGTCTTAACGGGCCCCTACCCCTCCCAGAGGGGCTTCTGAAAATTAACACTTGTGGAAAGGTGTCACTGTCTTCAGTGGTGTAACTGCAGATGACTTGTCATTGCTCCACTGAGAAGCTTTTCACCGACAATCAGGCTAATTAAATTCAGTGGACCATGAATTTAAAGAAGACATGGAAATCAAAGGAGAAAGGTGTCAGTGGGAGAGGGACGGAAATGAGGGTGAAAATGACTAAAGCTCATTATACGAATGTATGAAATCACCAATAAAAATATGGGGAAAAACTTGTACACAGACATCCATAACAACACAATTCAAAATCAGCAGGCGAAAACATCAGGGATGAATAGATGGAACATTATTTGGCTGTAAAAAGGGAATGGACTTCTACTGATTCTTACACAAGGTGGCTCAGACTTGAAAACATTGTGCTATGTGAAAGGAACCAGGAAGAAAATGAGAAATAGCATATCATGCATTTATATGAAAGATTCACTATAGTAGGCATGTCTTTGGACACAGAGAGCAGTGATGGTTGCTTAGGGCTGTGTGGAATGGGGAGTGATTGTTCATGAACAGTTTCTTTTCTGTTTGTTGAGGTAGGAGCTACCTATGTAGCCTAGGCAGGCCTAAAACTCACAATTTTCCTGTCTCCACCTCTCCAGTACTGGGGTTTGAGGTAGCACCGCCACACCTGGCTGATTTCAGAAGCAACGGTTACCCACCAGTTATCAGAGGAGACGCAGGATGAGCACACTCATTGGTTTTTGAGAGAAAGCCCACAGATCTTTATTTTACTGGTTGGAAAAACGTCCAGAATATTAACTGTATCAGTGGGTATCTGTGGTGTCTGGCTTCCTGCTGAGTGTGGCCAACAGGGGACACAGAGATGTTAGACCTTGGGCACTTACTCTTCAGAGGACTTCCCACTGGTCACAGCCCCAGCCTCACTCTGCCTGGTTCTGTAGAGTGGTGACAGCCCCCTCTGCTGCCAACCTTGGGGCACCACATCTTTCTAAGTCCTGTTCACATTTCTGTCTTTAACCCTTGCCAACCTCTCCCCTAATGACTCAGGTTGGGACTAGCCTCAGTGTCTTCCCTGGACAGGGACTAATGCCCGTCTGACTTCATGATGGTGAGTCAAGCACACACGATCCCTACAGTCCCCATCAGTGAGTGACAAGGACCCTCATTGCTGACTTCAAACTATAGGCTTGCAGAAGGCATTAGCAGAAGATTCTCAGCCACCCATCTGCTAACACCCTTTCTCCACAAGAAGGACGAGGCACACCAGGTTCCCCGCACTCTACTGCGGTCACATTCTACCTTCATAGGCTCCAGAACTGGAACCACCAGTTGACTCAGCTGATACACACGCCTGACTTAGTTTATGAAAACTAACTTTGACGGCTCCTAAAAGTCTCAGTTGGTTCCTGCCCACAGGCTATGGGATGGAGATCGGCAGAGCCCACGGCAGTAATGGGGACAGAAGGCGGGGGTCCTGTGGCACATGTGTAATCCCAGCGCTCAGGATAATGGAACAATGGAGGGAGTGGAAGGAATGATTGCTTCCTGGGGACACACCGTGTTCTGTACTGTGCTTCCTGAGTACATCAAGTGATGCATTTTCTTGATTGATGATTGATGGGGGAGGGCCCAGTGCAGTGTGGGCGGTGCCACCCCTGGGCAGGTGGTCCTAGGTTGAGCAAGCTAAGATGAACAAGCCACTAGGATTCCTCCACAGCCTCCACTTCAGTTCCTGCCTCCAGGTTCCTGTCTTAGCTTTCCTGGGTGATAGACTACAAGGTATAAGATGAAACAAACTCTCCCCTCCCCAAGTTGCTTTTGTTCAGTGTTTTAACACAAGGCTAGCTAGCCTCAGAGTCCTGTCTCAAGCAATCCTCCTGCATCATACTCCTGATCATGCAATACAGCTGTGTGCCACCAAGCCCAACCCAGACAGACAGACTGGCCAGTATCAGGACAACTGTGCCTGTGTGTGCTATGTGTTAGAATATGGACATGCTTTGATACAACCGTGTCCCCTCTGAGAACTATGCCTTTTACTCGGAAGGTGTTCAAACAAAAAAAAAATGCTCACTGTGAGCTGGTTTCTAGGGTTACAACGTGGAAAAGGGTAGATGCCCACTGGGGAGGCGACTGGATAAGTAAGTGGAGATTCGTGCAAACAAAGGAACATCGTACAGCCACTAAAAAGGGCGATGCCTGTCTTCCAGTGCTCACAGCACAAGATCTCAGTGGATGAGCTCAGGCGCTTTAAGTGGGATCTGCACAGGTGTGCGTGGGCCTGGAGGGAGGACTACCAAGGAGGGGGACCTTCCAGGTGGAGGGAGGGGGAACTTGGGAGGTTCCCACAGGTATGCACTGAAACTCCTTGAGCCCCTATAGTGAGCCAGGATAAACTGTGATGTTGATGGGTTTGTAACCCACATACAGGGGTCTTATTGCCACGTGGGCATAGGGAATGTTACTAGTACTTTCCGTATTTTCAAGAAAAACTGGAAATACCAGATTGTGCAGGAGAACACCTGCTTTGTAAGTGCAGGAAAATCCTAAATCAAGCACAGCTGAGGCCGTGTGCCACCTGGAGGTCGCCCATATTCAACCAGCGCTCTTAGGAGCAGCTTTTAAGCTTAGTACATCTTACCACTAGGGGTTTCCTCCGGGCCTCAGTTTCCCCATCTGCAAGGTACAGGAATTGGATTGGTTGGCATTTAATATCCTGTTCAGGTTTGGATGTTTCTAGAAAGCTGGTACTGGGAGGGGTTTGTCACAGATCTTTTGGGAATTGAGCAGGACAATGGCTCCTCTCCCGGATAGACAGCAGCATGAGTATGACATCAGTGGGGTTTCCTGTGTCGTTTCCATGGCTGACTCCTTGCATCCATTCTCTGCTCTATGCACAGTGTTAGTGCTGGGATGTGGGAAAGAATGGATTTACATAGATGGTTGCTTGCTCCATCGTGAGGAGTTCAAAGCCAGCATAACCAGCCTGGGAGCAGGACCCAGGGCACTGGCCATGCAGTCACTATCTCAGCTTAGACCGGGTGACTTCAGAAGGCTGTTGAGTCACAGGTAGGGGAGAGGGAAGTGCGAGCAGCTGGAGTTCCTTCCTGCACCATGAATGTGGGCACACAGGCTGACCTCT